GTCGAGCTCACAGGGTCAGCCGAGAGGGGAAAGCTCAGCCCCGTATCGTTCCGTTCGCCTAACTAAAAACGTCCCGCACTTCTGTCAGGGAATAGAATGGAATCCGGGATCAAAGAGAGCCCTAAGGATCTTGTGGAACAGGATTTCATCCCAGCAGTTGCATTTTTTGGGGGATTCTCTTATTTTCATACATGACGGATCGTATTACTTCCCACTGGGCGAGAAATGCTCCTTTGGGAATCGGGCCCCGTTTCGCCAAGGGAATCAGCCAAGGCAGCATCAAAGACAAGAAGTGAGCTTTACTTAAGAAATTACTCTGCTCACGACGCCAAAAGCGACTTGCCAATCTTTTCGGCTGACCCTTGGTCAAGCGGCGACCAAAAGCGCGCGACCTTCCTTCTAGTTCTCCCTTGGGGCTCGATTACATTGACCTTCCACCCCAACGAACGAAGCGAAGCTCCTCAGAAATAAGCGGCCCCGAGGGCTTGCTCCACGTCTTCGGTATCGACCCTGGTCCCCAAAAGCGATTCATAATAGCGCACAAATTCATTGGAAACCTCATCGAGGGAGTCGGTCATGGTCCTTTAACTCTGCTTATCGAGGCAATGAAGTTTCGCATCATCCTTGCCCGCTTCATCTCAAACCTCACTGCAACTTTCATGGATGGATTTTATAGAAGGACTTCCGGCCGCCAGTCAACAATCTTGGTCCTCCAAATGGCAAATCCCATCATCCCGTAATTGCGGCTAGTAGTAGGTGGGTTCTAGCAATGCTATCGTCCTCTTCTGGCTACTTACTTGCCTTGCTTACTCGGATATTGATTTTCTTTGCGGGACTCCTTATTAAGGCGTGAAAGTATTCCATCGGGCTTACCGCTGGCGGAAATTCAGTCCGTTATTGCCGATTCGGGCTACTCGGCGGCTAAGCTCTTCAAACCTCCATTCCATCATCCTGATTGTATAGGGGTCGTTTTCAGGCAAGGTCGTCCACGCCTGCAATTCTGATTGTTGTAGAACCTCGGATTTCGGGTTTTAAAGGCCTGGCACTGGGCCGAGAACCGAGGCTGAGAAGGGCTCCAGATTCGCCGACCGATCCCAGTTCGGCTAACACGAGGCAATGTATATTGTTTTAAGTGGTGCACGAGATTTTTGAACTACTAATATATGGATGATTGATGGTTCCGATGGAGGGAAAGCTGATTCAGCGTAAACCCCTATTCGCCGCCCCACTAGCTCCCGTTTGATTCAGGTTGACCTTCCCCCCTACTATCAGGGCGAGGAACTAAAACAGCTGATCCGACAGGTTACGAGGGGTTACTCTGACTTATGGCAAGGCCCATCTTCTTAAGGCTAAGCAGATTGATTTGAGGAAGTGGAATGAAGTGAAGCTCAACCGCAAAAGAACCAGCATCAACGCCTCAATTACACCAGGACTTCACTTCGCTTCGCTTCGTTTGTATCCTTTTAGTCGAGATCTTTGAACCTCTTCTTTATAGTCGAGCATCTTCAAACCTTTTAGTCCTTCCTCTCCCTTCCTTTCCTTCACTTTGCTTCGCTTCGTTTGTTTGATCTTCATCTGATGGTAGTCATTCCCCCTTTCGCATAGGGGTGAGAACTTTCTTCAAATCTCGATCACTACTGGAAGCATCGCTGAAACCAGGGTTGCTTGCAAGAATGAGAGATAGGATTGAATCCTTATCATAACTACAAAATAGCGTATATAATAGTATGAACTCTTCACTCCTTAAACTCTCGCCGCTAGCTGATCCCCCTTCGAACTCACTTTGCTCCCTTGAGGTGGGAAGATCTGATTTCCACTCTATCTAACGCTTTTGCGTCTTTCCTTTTTCGCCGCGAGGGACAGTCTCCCATAACAAGAATAGGAATACGCGAGCCTTCCCCATTCCCCCAGCGTTGACGCAAGGGAAGCGTGTCTACAGGAGAATTACCAAAATTCCTAAAAAATTAGCTTTTTATGAAACTATTTCCACCCCAACGAACGACATAATTGAGAACTTCGATTGACCATAGCTGCCATTTTGCAACAAACTTTTCGAAGCGAAGCGCAAAATTCCCTGCTTACATGCTCCTAAAGCAGCAACTCTGGGGTAATCAGGGGTAGATTGGAAGCAGATCAACTCCAGGTTTGGTTCCGCAGCTTGTTTTGGGGGAGATGTAATTGAGGAGAAGCGAAGTGAATGAATCAAGAAAGGTCGGGTCAATCGCCCGGGGAAGGGCCGGATCCGGCGAAAGTAATAAGAGAGAAAGAGAGATAAGCCGGTTTCGGTCTCATGAACGGGCTTTTGATCGACTTCGGCGACGGTTGGGGGGTATTCAGCGTGAATTACAGTTATACTCCTCGCCAACACGCTGTCCTTCATTGCTATGTTCCTTAGTACCCTCTTCAATCAGAAAATCATTCTCAAAAAATCCTTGCCTAAATCTACGCCATCGGTGTCCGTCTAGTGAAGATAGTAGCCTTAAATCCACAGATTCTGTAAGAACAATAGGAGATTTGCCTCCACCTAAGAATCAGTCCTATTTTGGAAAAAACCACGAGACATATATCGCAAACCAGAAACTCCCTTCCCGGAGAATGGGCAGGATTCTAAGAAAGAAGCTTCTGAGGCATACTCCCTACTCTCTCTTCTGGAGTTTCCGCTTTCCTGTTTTCGTAGCTGCGAGTCAAAGACCTGTATGGTTGCTTTTCTTGTTACTTTTTTTTATGACTGGTCTTATGTCCATTGGGTTTCCTCTCCAGCCCGATGCATTCCCCAGATAAATCTCCTCTGGCCCCTGCAAAGAACGCATTTTCTCAGCCACAAAGAAGAAAAGGCATAAGGTGAAGCATCTAAATAAGATAGGCACAACGAAAGGGCCAATAGCTCTTTCCTTTATAGCCTATTCTTTTACACCCTCCTCAGAAGAGGGCACCCTAAGATAAGAAAATCAAACCCTTGAATCAGTGAATCCGGGGAATAAGAACAATCAATGCTTTATCCGGGACCCTTTTAACCCTCTCCCTCGGCTACCCATCTACCTATCTTACTCTTATACTCTTCTTACTAAAATGACATAACCCTTATAAGAACTCTTTCTTACCTTCCTTAAGGGAGTGGGGGATTGCTGGGAGTGATCCACCACGGTAATAGAACACGTATTAATAAAGACTAGAGGAATCAACAACGGAAGGTGAAACCGCATCGAAGAAGGCAATGAAATAGGTGCAGAAAGCGGGCCATCTGAAGTAGGAGTACCAGTGGATAGAGAAGGTTCGATAAAATTGACCAGATATATATGCGGATTCTGGGCATGAATATGAGACTAATGCAGTTAAGTTCCTCCCGGCATTCGTAGATCAATCAGTAGTTCCTTGCCTTACTCATCTATTATATCGATGCGGCCTGACGACTGCATCTCTACTATATGCAACTCGAAAGGCGATAACAGCTCTTAGTCCAACAACAGAACAGCTAGAACAGTAGCGGGGAATTCTATACTTGACTTTTCCTTCTGTGCTCGTGGCAATTTCTACTATTGATAGGGACATTGGCTTCATTTTCTTTAGCGGCTTCAATCCGAGCAGCACTTCAATCACTCATTGCAAACAGGCCTTCGAGAACCTACAAGAATAAGAAAAGAAGTTAGCTCCAATTGCTCAAGCAAGTACAGTCGTCTAGCTGTATTTAGCTACTCTAGCTGCATTTTCGACTATTGCAGCAGATTCAATTTCTTCACCGCCAGAAGCGGATTCCATGACAAAATACTGCCTTTGCTCTTAGGAGTCTCTGGCCTTAAAAGGTCTCTTCTCCTTAATACCTGGGGTTAGGCCTTCTTTATTTGGTTTTTCTCTTCCGTATGTATGTGGGATTTGCCTTTCACCCAAGCCTATGAATGCGGTGATAAGTGATCCGGCGGCGTAAGCGACCTTTTGTATTGTTCTGATATGTCTGTTCATCCATACTACAGACGATAGTAAGAAGCTTATTTCCCGATCGTCTTCTGCTTTCACTGGATTCAGTTATTTTTCACGCACCCAAGACTACGGATTACCAAAAACTCTAGACAGTTTGATGCGAGTCTGTTGAACAGTGAGAACATTACGTATCCTTTTGTTTTTCGTATGAGATTCCAATCTGCCCTTCTTTCTGGGCACAAGAAAGCCCTATTATAAATGCCTTCCCTTCTCTGTTAACCGAGGGAACCTTTCATCCGAATCGCTGTCACTCCCGGATGATTCAACACGAGGCAAGCGAGTAGGCAGCTTATGCCGTTTTCCCATGATACATTCCGGAATATTGTAAAGGTAATGGCTTTGAGGGTACTACCCTTTGATTGACTACCTTCTCCTTGCTCTCTTTCATTCCTTCTTTTGGCTGAAAGGGCCTTGCCTTAAGCCCGTACGCTTCTATTGGCTACTGGAAATAGGGTTAGGCGGGCTGTAGACTATCGGGGAGAGGAGACTGCGAAGCGAAGTGAAGGAAAAGAGAATGGTTTCGCTCCTTTACTGCTTTCTGACTATCAAGATTCGTCCACTACTAGAGAAAGAGCCCCTTTCTTATTAGACTATTCTAGTGGCGGCATTTCTCTGAGTAGGAGAACATTCTTCCCTAAAAAGCTCACTTTGAAAGGAAAGAAAAAAAAAGAGAACATAAAAAGGATAGGCTAACTATCCATCTGACTACGGTTCCCCCGCTCTAGGCTAGGCTGATACTGCTCTAGTTTCTTATTATGACTCTTCTCCCTTTGGAATCACTCCCATAGATAGAGGAAACCCTCGGGCGATCCAATCAAAGAAGACAATCCCCTACAAACGAAGCGAAGTGAAGTCATAGAAACCTGAATGATTGCCCTAAAATCCTTTCATTCCCGACGATTCGACACCTCTATTCTTACTCGAAAGAGATCCTACTTAAATAATGGTAGGGAAAGGAAAAGCACCTATGGATTTCTGGTGAGCAAAGTTAGGAGCAAGCTGGAAATCAAGAGTACTATCTAAAGCGGCTAAAAGAATCTTAATCCAATCTGTTACATCGGCGCTATGCCATGCAAACAACAAACAGCAGTGGTAATCGATGAAATGGAGAAGCAGAATAGAAATTTTTTCTGGGGAGACGAGGAGAGACGCAACCGGATTCATGCCATAGCATGGGACACACTGTGCACGGCAAAGGAGAAGGGCGGTCTTGGATTTAAGAAGCTTAAATATATGAACACAGCATTCCTCGCTAAACTAGATTTTCTATGACTTCACTTCGCTTCGAAAAGTTTGTACCCGTCAATGTAATCTTTCCTAAACCTTTGCCTTAGGAGCTCAGTATTCGCTAATATAGGAATATAGGCTGGCTTCGATCTTCGCGAAAGGTTATAACATATGCTCGACTATAAATCCGAGGAACTAAAGGTCAGCTGACTCAAAGCCTTACTAACTAACAGCGGATTAAATAATTGCATATTACGTCACCGACTTGGAAGCCCGTAACATTCATAATCAATATTCGCCTTCGGTCGAGTACTTACGGCTCCTTAAAAAAGTCTTAAGAGATCGAAATCACTACGCGAGTTGGCAACTACCTTTTAATGAACTCTTACGANGAACATTCATTCTTCTATATTCTATTATATTCATAGAATCAAAGAAATCGATGAAGGAGTCCGAGTATGTAGCGCTATGGTATGGACAGCTAGCTTCGTCTAGGCGTCAAGCCCGGTGGTAGGAACCTAAATAGGTATTCTCATGCCCCGAGGCTATTTATCAATTCGGCGATGATGCGCATCTTGAAGGCTAAATAAGGGCTAGGTTCGTATTGACAAAGAGCTGAACAACTTTCGATGGGGGTGCTGGGGTTATTTTTATCACAAGAGCTACGACTACGAGACTTCGCTGCTCGCACATGACAATCTGACCCAACTTTAGAAGCAAAGCGAAGTGAAGTCATAGAATCCTGCTACCACTGCTCAATTACATCGATCCTGCTGCTTAGGAGTTTAGAATAGGCCCCAGGCGGGTGATACTGCATTTCGCTATCGCTATCCTTTCCTTAGCTCGGGTTCAGTCTAATCCCGGGTTATAGAACAAGAAAGACGGATTAAGAACCCCTACTAAATAATCCCTAAAAGGGTGGTTGGTTCTCCGTTAGTAGTTAGCCCTATCAAGTTCAAGTTTCACTAACCATTTCGCTATCGCTATCGCTGTCCTTTCCTTTCCTATCTCTTCGGTACCAAACTGTAAGTTATAGCAAGCCAAGTAGCTTTAATCCCTCTGCATGTTGGGGATACTTGCGGTTAGTAGTTTAGCCAGAGAATAGGGACCGAAGACCGACCCGGAACGTCTTCACCTTCCTTCACTCCAGCCTTTAAGGAATCCGTTCAGTCGCTGCGCTTTGCTTCTCTCTACGTACAATCAGGAAATTCAACCAGCAAACCAGAGAAAGAAAGAAGAAAGGAGTTAACTAACGATTTCCCTCTTTCATATGCAGCTCCTGGCCTCCCTTACTTGCATGCTTTCCTTTCTTGCCTATACCTGGAGTTCATTAGCTACCCAGTTCACTTAGGAGTAGAAGCCTTTCTTTAAGAGTGACGACCAAAGGTCAGCGCCTTTGCCTTGTAGTCATATAGGCTAGTTGACTGGTTTACTTCGGAGTTAGGAGAGCAAAGTGAGTCTCGACTAAAAGGAGAGGAAAGGTGTAATTGAGGATGATATCAAAAGTGATAGATTGGTAAAGTGCTCATAGTATGGGTATGGAGGAAGAGAAGGATTGACTTTTTAGTCATTAG